TGCAGGAGCTGAAACACGCTTTGGACGATAGATATCCAAGAGAGAATCAAACCAACATCGATAAATATGGTCATATCGATAAATATGGTCGACAGTGGATGACCGTCGAGGAGCTCGAATATGACGCATCGTTGATAAAAGAGGTATGGAACTAGTCCGCCTGAATACATATTCCTTTGAAGGTGTATTTTTCAATCCCTAACGAAAGAATTTAATTGCAAAAGTCTTACATGGATATGATCTTTCTTACTGGATTGAAACATAGCCATTTTTCTAAATTTCGATAGTGTGGAAATGGAACCTTATGTTGTCATTATGCAAATAATATGCAGTGTATTTATTGTCTATCGATAATTTCTAATGGTGTTGGACTTGAGCATCATGCAAATCTTAGCTCGATAGTTTTGAGTGAGGATTGGTGATTTATTCCAGACAAATGCTACGATATGGAACTTATTCTGGTGGAATCTCATACTTGCCATTCTGCTCATACCTATCCTCATTTTGGTTCATTGTGATGCTGTGGAGGGGAATCTTGCTAAATTAGTCTACAGGGTTAGTTCTGAACATGTACCCTAGCAGTGCTTAATCTGCTACGGAGGTATTCAGGGTATTCTTGTTGGTTGTCTGATTTTCTGCATTGCTCAATTCCTATATCTGATTCATCCCTTGCTTTGGGGAGCCGCCAAGTTTCCAGGCGTAAGTTTTTCTCTTTCTAACTAGTATAAGCTCAGGACTGCTTCGGAAATTTCAGATGGTAGATAGGCTATTCTTGCAAGCTTACCCTCGGGATGAATATCAGATTAACGCAATAAAGGAGCGATTTGCGTGCGAATTCCAACCACATGACGTGCTCGTGCAATTTGATCTGCAGGTAATTTTGAGGAAGTTTCATTTCGAATGAAAACATGATTTCTGCAGCAACCATGCATACCAAAGATGAAGAATTCACTCTTTCCAACTTATACTGTACTTCTGTTGATGTTTATTGATGTACTGCCATT